CCTCCTCAACTAAATCTCACAAGCAATCTAAAATTCCATTTTCTGATTATTTTCTCGTCAGCAGAGTCTGCAGTGAAATTTTTTGGAAGGTATCTTGAAAACGACCACGTTTGCAACGAGTGGCAACATGGCAACATTTTATCTCATCGCGAAATTGATGATGCTTCAAGTATTGGTATTCTCGTATGGTAAGTCAGAAACGTATTGATTTCTATCTATTTTGTTTCGGCCGTCTTTCGGTAATGATAAGCACTGTGGAGTAATTAAAAGAAGCCTTCAGTGAAAAAGCAGCGTAGAAAAGTGCATTGTTCTTTGCAAGTTGAATATTCATAGTGATAGTGTAGACAGCCGATCAATGCCACACTTAAACAAGACAAAACGCACCTTTCTGTTCGCATGGTTACAAGTAAAGCACACGTTACTCACCCTAAGCATTCCTAAGAAAGGCGGGAATGGGATTTAGGGTTTCGCTTAGTTGCTTATGGATTAGTTTATTATTTGCTGTTCTGGGATAGCTCGAATGCTGATACCTCCGCAGATTGAACACTTTAAAAAGAAGTCCAGACCAATGTTATTTTAGTAGATGTGCCGGTCGTGTTTGGAGAGAGAAACACTGTAATGGTTGGCTACAATTTCCAGGTCTTGTGTATATGATTTACTACGGCAGTTCCGCCACCCAAGAGCTGATTTTAAGAACTCCAAACAGTTTCCACTTAGCCCAGCTTACAATTATATCATTGTCAATGACACGTCAAGAGTTATCAGTCTTTTTGTTTGACCAAAACTTGCGGTTTGGCGGCCATAAAACAGTTGCTTGAAAGAATACTCTATACTTCTGCAATTGCAAGATACACTGGAAATTACGCAATGAAAGCATAGACTATGTACAACGCAACTGATTTATTTATTCCTGAATTTATTCTGAATAAAGTTATGCTCGTTAAATCTCGAACACTATTTACATTGGCTGACAAAATGTGATCAGCTCGTTTCAATAGATCAGAAAATTGTGGCATCTGCTAGATATCTTGTAGATACGTTGCTTTCTGGAAAACAACTGAAGAATACAATGTTTATTTAGTTTACAGTTGGTAACCAAGGAAAAGGTTAAGAGATGTGCTCCTCGGTTTACAGAAGAAGCGATGCGGCACGCTTAATTTATTCACGGCTATTCAAAACANTTTAGTTTACAGTTGGTAACCAAGGAAAAGGTTAAGAGATGTGCTCCTCGGTTTACAGAAGAAGCGATGCGGCACGCTTAATTTATTCACGGCTATTCAAAACAGTCTTATTAACTGTCTCATCATGGAAAGGACGTTTCAGCTGATATAACCACAATCTGAAAAGTATAAATATATACATCTATCTCGGCCAGTCTATCACGGTAAGCAAATCATATACGACATTGACCGCACAAGTCTTTTGAAACGGTTTTCTCGACTTGTTTGAGTCGATAACTGAAATAAGTGATCACGTGAAGGTCAGACTGATCATCGTTTGGACTTTGTGCTCACGATCATACACTATTCAATTCTGTCTTTGAAAAAACCAAAACCTTTTAACGGAAACATCGTGCCTACTCGGGTAGCCAATCACTGCACAGGATTTGTTTCATCTTGCCCACCCATTGAGCAATAGTAGTATCATAGCAGATTGATAAGAGATAAACAATTTCAAATTTTTGAATTCAGTATGAATTTAGTGCGCGCATGTCAGATTCAAAAGAAAATTGAGATAAAAGAAATTCATTGATGGCCTACCACAACTGGCTTTAATATTTGCTTTGTGGATACATTATTTAACAAATAAAGAAGCATAATCCGTGTATTACACTGTGATAAAACACGACGGGCATTTGAGAATACGAAAATGTAAGAAACTGTTTAGCCAAGCAGGATGAAGCAGTTTCTTATATGCATGTGGGTTACAGTTGACTTGTTATAGTTGATAAACATTTAAACTAAGGAGTGTGGCTTTGAGATGGCAAATTTATATTACAAGAAAATATACAGTTGTTAGTAAATACTGTATATTCAAGAACCAAAGCCAAGTTTATTTATTTTTCAACAGCTATATATCCTTCGTAGAAATTAAGAACCTAATAAAAAACCTACTCAGCCTAAATTGCCAATAACCACCTCAAAATACAAGAACCTATTTTGCCAAAAAATTTCGTCAAAAGCATTGTAGGTTCTTTCACGTGGATTTCTACTGTAGTTTTTGGATCCACTCCGCTACGCCTGGAGTATGTATACTCTGCATAATCGTCACGTTACTACGCTCGTCGTCTGCAGCGCGGTTTGGGAAAAAAGCTGCAAAGTTTTAGTTGTTATTGATAATGGACAAGACGGTTTCTTTTAGTGCTGTACCCTGTAAGTAAATCAATATCAGGACCGATTTGGACGTTATATATTAGCGAGAAGCTAACGACAAGTGTACAACAAGAATTATTTCTCTTAAATCAATCCCATATAAACTTCGAATGTAGGGGTGAAGGTTTCATTTGCATGAAACATTTGCATCTTACACGTAATCTATCCCTAACTTTAGCTGTATCATCAAACACTACGATGACCCAGATGAATGCATCCACCCCAAGTAGCATTGTTGTAGCCTCAACAACAGGTAAGACTCATTTAATAGCAGTATGGTAAACAAAAAATAGTTTACGTGCAAGATTCGTTTAGTGGCAGTGATGAAACCAGAAACAATACTATGATGATGCAAGATTTGCTTAGTGGCAACATAGTTAGTATGGTAGCACTGAGTGTTGTAACCAAAAAAAAAAATGCAAGGCTCGTTTAGTACAGTGCTGTTACCGAAAAAACATGCAAGATTCATTTAGTAGCAGTGTTTTAAATTTAAAAAAAAATGCAAGGTTTGTTTAGTAGCAGTGTTGCAACCAAAAGAAAAACATCCAAGATTCGTTTAGTAGCAGTGTTTTAAATTTAAAAAAAAAAATGCAAGGTTTGTTTAGTAGCAGTATTGCAACCAAAAAAAAATTCAAGGTTCGTTTATTAGCAGTGTTGTAACCAAAAAAAACACACCAACATGCAAGGTTTGTTTAGCAGCAGTGTTGTAGCCAAAATAACAAGAGCAACAACAACATGCAGGGTTTGTTTAGCAGCAGCGTTGTAACCAAGAAGAAAAACATGCAAGGTTCATTTAGTAGCGGTGTTGTAACCAAAAAACACATGAAAGGTTTGTTTAGTAGCATTGTTGTCGCCCAAAAAAAAAACATTAAAGGTGCGTTTAGTAGCAGTGTTGTAACCAAACGAAAACATTCAAGGTTCATTTATTAGCCGTGTTGTTACCAAAAAAATATGCAAGGTTCATTTAGTAGCAGTGTTGCAAGTGTTGCAGTGTTGTACGATTTCTTACACGTTATCTATCCTTCATTTTAGATAATTCCTCAAACACTACTATTATTACTGTGGAGACAGTAATACCTCCTACAACCATCCAAATGACATCCATTCCAAATAACGGTGTTGTAGCCCCAACACCAGGTAAGCCTCATTTAGTAGCCGTATTGTAACCAAAAAACATACAAGTTTAGTTTAGTAACAGTGTTGAAACCAATGAAACACTATGATGATGCAAGGTTCGTTTAGTAGCAGTATTGTTACCAAAAACACATGTAAGGTTCGTTCAGTAGCAGTATTGCAACGAAAAAAAAAAAGCTCAAAGTTTGTTTAGAAGCAGTGCTCTAACCAAAAACACATGCAAGGTTCATTTAGTAGTAGTGTTGTAAAAAAAAAAAAAGAAAAAAAAAATGCACGGCTTGTTTAGTGGCAGTGTTGTAACCAAAAAACATGCAAGGTTCATTTAGCAGCATTATTGTAAATAAAAACTGGATCTACAGTAGAGATAAACACTATAAATGCAGAACAAAAAACAATGAATGCAAAACAATAGCAAAACACCTAATACCTAATAATACCTACTTCTGTTTTAAGTTCCACGCACCAATCAAGAGTCTAGGTATTTCGAAGGAAGGTGTTCTTGTAATTTTAAGATTTCTAACACGTAATCTATCCCTAACTTTAGATGAATCTTCAAGCACTATGATGACAGAAATGTCTACTACACCCACCCAAATGACATCCACTCCAAGTAGCAGTGTTGTAGCCTCAACACCAGGTGAGACTCACTTAGTAGCAGTGTTGTAACACAAAGAAAACCTGCAAGGTTTAAATTAGTTGCAATGTTGAAACCAAAAAAGAGCGCTATGATGATCCAAGGTTCGTTTAGTAGCAGTGTAATAAATAATATATAGATTTAGCCAAGCCTAAAAGTGGAGCTCCTGATCGCAATAACTGACCATAAAGAAAAGAGAGAATTATTTTTTCTTGGATCAGAAACTCAAAAAATGATCAATTTTGAGCATAAAATTGTTCAGCGTGTGGTTTTGCTATTTATTCCAGTTAAATTTTAACAAACTATGCCCAACAATCTTAACCAAGATTGTAGAAATTACGTACGCAATATATCAGGGACTTTCCAAGAGACGATTGTACAAGGAATATGTCAAAAGAAAAGTCAACAATGCGCCAGGGGTTAGTTTGCGTCGATATTTTGCCTTTGCGAGTACTCCTTCCTTCTCCCTCAGAGAAATAACGTGACTTGCGCCCGCGATCCAATCGGTACACCAGTAACTGGTCAGCGGTCAACTTTTTAAAAAAACACGCCACCTCGATGAGCTCTAAACTTGAGCCCGCGATATAGTCGCGTGATACTGGTCAGCGGATAGCTTGTTGCGGCAGCTGTCAATTAATAATGGCGGGGACGCACAAAATCAAAGATGTAGCTNTTTTCTTGGATCAGAAACTCAAAAAATGATCAATTGTGAGCATGTAATTGTTCAGCGTGTGGTTTTGCTACTTTTCCCAATTAAATTTTAACAAACTATACCCAACAATCCTAACCAAGATTGTAGAAATTACGTACGCAATATATAAGGGACTTTCCAAGAGACAATTATACAAGGAATATGTCAAAAGAAAAGTCAACAATGCGCCAGGGGTTAGTTTGCGCCGAAATTTTGCCTTTGCAAGTACTCCTTCCTTCTTCCTCAGAAAAATAACGTGACTTGAGCCCGCGGTCTAATCGCCACACCAGTAACTGGTCAGCGGTCAAGTTTAAAAAACAAAAAACGCAACCTCGATGAGCTCTAAACCTGAGCCCGCGATTTAGTCACTTGATACTGGTCAGCGGATAGCTTGTTTTGACAGCTGTCAATTAGCAATGGCGGGGACGCACAAAATCAAAGATGTAGCTATGGTAATGGTGCTACTCTCTTAGTTTTC